CCTATCCCCTGTCGTGCCTTGGCTAGTCTCAGGATGTCAAGTACATCATTGTTCAGGTAAGACAATCTCGTATAACTTCGTATAATAGTATGTACTATTACGTAAGTTATTACGACTTACAATTAGTAGTAACTGTTGCTGTAATTCTAAGCTTAAGGCCTAAAGACAAAGTAATAGCGGAAAGTAGGCAAGTCGTAAGTATACCGAGACTATAAAGTGAAGAAGTTTCGAGCAATGGACTGATGAGACTAACAAACGTAACCTGCCGAATGCTAATGAATTACAACCCGTGTTGGTCGTGAGTAGCCGATGAAAACCAAAGTCGAAGGCAAAAGCTGGTATGTTTCTCTTAGGCCTGTGCAAATAATCGTATTTTAATATCGATTACGATTTTCGCTTGCAACGATTACGAAAACAACGTAATCGAAATAAAACGATCATTATTTTAATTTTAATTATTTTGTTATTTTTTTAATAGTTTTTTCAGTTGAATTATACTTAAAGTTCAGGGTAATCAACTGTTAAAAACATATTGTTAACATTTATTTTTTCAATAAATGGATGTTTTCAAAGTAAATGGATAATTAGTTTTTAATAATCGTGATATCAATTATTGACCAAAATAATCGTGATTATGATTTTTGCCATAATCGCACAGCCCTAGTATCACTCACTATTAGTTTATAACTGTTTATAACAAATATACTATCTCTCAATGGCCCCTTTTTGTCTGATTAAAAGGATGTCCCAACGACTCAACGCAAACTACAGGGGGGTGTGAGATACATCGTGAATTTTGCCCCAGAACTCAGGGAAATGATTTCTGAGGCATACCACCTTGAGTTACAGGACCATGCTCTGCCTGATCTGGCTAAAATTATTGCTCTACAAGAGGACAAATTTATCAGGTAGTAAAAATCACCAGTAACTAAATACCAAACCAGTCACTGATGCGATCTTGGGCCTGACTAATTCCAACCTTTGTTTTAGGTACGTCAATGATCTGAGGAAGATGATCAACCGCTACCACTCTGTCATGGACAGCCTGAGTGATGCACAGTCCATTATGTTGGAACAACATATCACAGCGGTCGAAGAAGAGATGCAATTTGGATGCAAAAGACTCAACTGGACATCTTTGGGTATGAAGAATACATGGGCCAAAATGTCTGTTCAGTGGTGATCTGATGTCAGTAAAATTGAAAATGGATCAATTTTGTTTGGTTTTAGGCATCAACGGCTTCATCAAACGTGGCTCTCAGTCTGTGTCGAAGTTTGAATCAGTTGTCAATCAGATTCAGATGAATGAGAAGGAGATTGAGTCCAAGTTGCAAGTCATAGGGATGGCCAGTTTGCTGAAGTTTTCCGTCCCAGATAACGACTTACCAGGTGTGATATCATTTATATGACATGATGATTTTATTATAAGAATCTATTCCATTCCAATATTTGTATTGCCTTACCCCACATTTTTTTCTTAAGGTGTCAAAGACTTCTTTGAACGTATTGAGCGCGACCAAACCAAGACAGTGAATTTGCTGAGTAGGATGTATGCAGACATCGGACCCCTCATCACTAAGACGGAACATTTGCTCCTGGGAACGAGCAGTGGCAATGCCAAATGTATGGCAGGTTACTACAAGTACTGGGAACGCAAAGTGCTAGACTCCCTTACAAAGATGGTGCTGAGGTAATCACCTTATGTTAATGTTTTTCAAGTGTTCTACTTTGTGAGCAGTAATAGTCACCCCTCCTTTTACATACAGGGCAAAAATATATGTCTCGACCACTGTTCCATCCTTCTTGTTCTAATTTAGGAATCTCCAGTCCTTTAACGTGGTGCTGATGGGAAGTACCGCTCTTTTCCAAATTGATGCCATTCTGCCTGCCCCTAAGATTGTGACGCAGCCCCAAAGCAAAGAGATCTACTTGCTGATGAAGAAATGTCTTAAAGACTGTATCGAGAGCACAAAGGTTTGATCATCAGGATTCTCCAAATACCAGGGTTCTTACGGTCATTAAAAACCTGGAAAAGTCATGGAAATTCAAAATGCAAATTCCAGGTCCTGGAAAAGTTATGGAAAACAATATTTTTCCTAAAGTTTTGGAAAAGTCATGGAAATGTAACCAAAGTTGCATCAAATACAATTTATATTTGATCTAATTGCCGAAATAGTAATACTATAATGATAATAAATACTGTATCGTATAGTAATGAAACGTAAAATGGCATTTAACTGTCGAGGTATTTTGCTGGTGATAGATGTTAGTTGCTTTAGCGTGTAGAAGCTAGTAAGCCTACTATTTGATTTGTTTTAGATAGGCACAACATGTTTCATATGCAGACCTTATTTTCCTGTTCCATGTTAAAACAAACCATTTTCAGTGGTACCGCTGGGAAAGAGTAATTTTTTTAGTCATGGAAAATTAGGTAAAGGTCCTGGAGAAATCATTGGTGAAAAAGTGTATGAACCCTGGTTATTGTTTTTCTACTTAGAACTACTAGATAGGTGGTCAGCCCATGGCTTCTTGACCTTAATTATCTGGACTCTATGCACATAAACCAATACATTAAAAACAAAAA